GGTGAGAGCGGCCGGACAGCGGTGCCAGGTGTTCTCTGCTCCGCGTGGTAAAGCGCTAACGCAACGCTTCCCCCGCGTGCCCTGTGGCGCTGGGCACCTGACACCTCCCGAGGAGGCCTTTTACAGATGCCCACCGCAGATAATGACTCGCGCTGGCTGGTGGACCGAGTTCATTATCTCCGTAATAGGAGAGGCTCCATTCAGACGTGACCAAGTCGTTGAATAGAAGATCAGAACATGGAAGAAGCGGGGAATTTTTTGTGTGATCATTAAAGACTCCCAGCTCTGATGCACTATTGTTCACCACGTCAGACTAATGATGTCCTCTAAAAGTGCGGAGGAGAAGGGGGAAATTTCCTCAGATCTGAAGACACATAATTAACTGCCCTTCTCTCTCGGCCTTGCCGTGGTTGGGGAAGCGGACATTCCAGGGAGCGGCGTGGGCGCCCGCACAGACCCTCCGGGCTGGGCGAGGCGGTTTGGGGACAGATGTCACGGCGCTATTCCTGACGGTGGAAACTAATCAGACGTCAAGGTTGCCCTTAATGACAATGGCGTCTGTTCCTTCACAGAGCTTATTAAAATGCTTCATAGTCATAAGCCACCTAGATACCTTGAGGCGAGGGAGCTCTGGTGAGAGGAATGAAACACGGGTGCAAATGTAGTTCTTCAGGAGGCCCTGGCCGTGGGCAGGTAGCTGCTTAATCAGCTCAGCCTGTGTGATCGGTGCCTTACCCCCACCCGACTCAACCGTTTGTTGCTGCGAGGGGTTCATTTAACGAGATGTATTTTAATCTCAGTCTTGTATTTTATCCCCGAGCTCTTGGCCAGATTTCATGAGCAAGCAAAGCCACAAGAACAACAAACAGAAACGGAGAGCAGGGGGCTTAAGTAAGGGAACTAATGAGCGGGAGGACCCAGGAGTTTACATGGAAGTCCGCGCCCTTTAACACCACGTTTGGAAGCATTGTTTCCCCCCAAACTCACCGCTCCTGCATGTTTTAATCTTGGGGAGTGAAGCCCCATCTGTCCATTCAGCCCAGTTAGGAACCTGAGAGCAGGCCCTGGTTGCTCCTACCCCCCCTCTCACGTCTGACAGCAGGAGCCCACACCCCAACGTTCTCTCGGCCCCGGGGCCATTCCTTCAATTCGCGCTCCACCACTTCTTGTCTGGACTGTTGTGGTAGCTTCTAATTGTTCTCAGTTGTTCGTTCGTTCATTCATTCATTCATTCTCACATTCAACCTATACTAGTTAGTCACCCACTGTGTGCCAGCCCTACTATTCACCTTGTCAGCCCACCACAGACACGCCAGGGGGACCTTTCCACAAAGTAAATGTGGTCATGCTACTCCCGGGTTTCAGAAAAGCTTAACTGCCCCCTACCATTTTCAAGGCTCACGCACCTTTCATAACATGAATTCTGAACTGTTTGAAATGCATGTTAGTTGCATGTGTCTGTGGATTTTTCTGGCCAAAGTGGATTTTCAGAAGTCGTTAGCAAAAATAAGCAAACAGGGGATACTTTCCCCGTCTCCACAGCTTGTCACGCACGAATCTCCTGCCGTCCAAATTGTTCATGTGCACGCCCTAACCTGGGAAATGTCCCACGGTAGCCTGAGGAGTTGAAGGCAAAGGTTTTCAAAGACAGTGGTTCGTGGAACTGGCAATTGTCTAAGGTGAAATGTATGAAATGATTTTTTTGGATGGTTTTATACCCAAGCCATTGCTGGTATAGAGAACATATTCAGCTTTAAATTAATGTTAGTGTTGTTAATTGATGACATTATTATTATTCCTGCAGCATCCCAGACACACTCCGGTCTCCCTGCCTTTGAGTCTTTGTTTTTTTAATTCTCCGAGTATCCCTTCATTGCCTTCTGACAAATAACACTTTCATAGCGACTCTTATGCCAGGCCATATTCTTGCGTGGGCATCTAAAGATTCTCCCCACCCCTCCCCCGTGGTTCTCTCCTTTTAGATTCCTGCTTACAAGCCCCTTTCTCTACTCTGACCAGTGTCTCCATCACCCAAATCACGTGCCGTGTTTGTCTCTCATCCTCGCTGGTTCTCTTACCTAGGATCCTCCTCCTGGGTCTTGGAGAAGACCACAGTGGTCTAGAGTGAAGTACCCTCTCCCATTTACTAGCCAGCTGCATGATCCTGGGCAAAGGGGTTCCATTCTTGGAGCCTCAGGCTCCTCATCTAACACATGGGTATAACACCTACCTCACAGGGTTGTTGCCAGGATCAAATGAGATCACGGATACCCAGAGCCTTGTACCTAGTCAGAGCTCAGCAGAGGCTGCTATTGTTGCAAAGTTGCAATCTCAGCTCCTCCATGAAACCATCATCATCTGCTGTCACCTAACATTAATCTGTTTTCCCATCTTCCACTGCACCTATGGTCAGCAGTCTGCAATACTTGAATATTCTTAGTTCTGTGCATTCCACCCCCCGCCCCCAGTTAAACTGCAAAGTGGACTAGGGCATAGATCGGGTCTCCTGTCAACACAAGAGCCAACAGAAGCCAGACGAGGAACAGAAACTCGACTGGGTGTAAGAAAACTCAGGAGGAGTGAGGACTCCAGCCAGTTTGAGGGCACACGTAACTCTGGCCAATTGTTGTCATGCGGGAATACGGGCCCGGTGTTGCCAGATCTCAGCCTTTTCAAAAGAAGCCAGAACTCCAGATTCTAAAGGGAAACGTCCTGAATTTTAAAAGTTGGGTCAACACTGTTCAGGCAAACAAAGCATGCCTGTGAGACCCCAGTTTGCGAAAGCTGCATTATTCAGATGGCTCCTACGAGTTTGTTGCGTACGCTTGTTGTTTAGACCTCTGAACTGCCTCTCACAGACAAACAATACTGGGAATGGCACTGAGACGTCCAGGCTGAGCTGGAGAGGGCTGACTCCCATTCAGGCCCGGCCTGAAGTTAGGGCAGTCCCGAGGAACCTAACCTGTCCGAGAAACCCTTTTCCCACAAGAAACACAATTCGAGGTCCGAGTTATGATGCTGGGGACATGTATACTAGGACGTAAGTCCTGTCCTGAGAGGTCAGGACAGGGCCTTTGTTTTATTCAGTGCCCTCTGCCACGTTTGGAAGGCTGCCTGGCATTCAGTAAATGTGTGTTAAACTGAAGATGACCTGTGTCTTTATCCATCTGTCCACCGTCAGTCTGTTCTCCGTATGCAAATAAGGACCATGTTGCTCACCCTGGGATCCCTGGCACCTGAGTGATAAGAGATCAAGAGGTAGTTGTTGAATGACTGTATGACCGAAACAGTCTATTCATCAGACACTTACTGAGCATCTGCTGTGTGCCAAGGGATATGTTGGACTTCGAGGACACAGAAGTGACTCAGACTCAAGGAACTGGGTTGCCCAGAAAGGGTTGCATAAAGCATTTCCTGAAACACTTTGAAAAACTGTCAGGAGTTACTTCACGCTCCCCTTCCCAGAAAAGGAGCCGGGGTGGGTGGGATGACCCGGGACCAGTAGCACTGCTTTGTCTATCGGAGCATCCTGAGGCTGCGTCCACCCCCGGTGTCCGACTGTGAAAGACTGAACTGATTTTCTTTCCACCGAGTGTCAGAGGAGCCAAATGAGTGCTGCCTGTTCCAGCCGGCACCTTGGGAGGCCGAGACCTCATTCCACTCCAGCCACGACGGCTCTGGGCCACGTCTCTGGCAAGGGCCCTGGGAGCACGTTGGAAGCCACTTGAGGACAGTTATTGCACTGCTTTAGAATCGTGCCTTATTTCTGACCCCTTCCCCCAACGTGTTTGGGTAAAAAAGGGTTATTCCAGTCAGTTTATCCCTCAAACTTGATTCCAAGTGACTTTGAGTTGTTTCCCAGGATGCAGTTCATGATCCAAGGGGAGCTACTTTCTGCCGGCGCGTTTATTGGGCAGCGTGTGCCCAGGTTCTGAAGGGCGCGGCCCTCGAAGAAGCCCCAGGTTGCCACCGGCCTTGGCAGCTCCACTGGAGGGAGCGTTTAACCTTCCAGCGTGCCCACAGCGAAGGAGGCAGGGTTCTTGTTGACGACAACATTCTGGTGTTCAGGTTAAAGAGGAAAAACAATGTAGTTTGTTTTCTATGTTCCCAATGTCCAGCACATGTCCTGGACCTGTAGGTGCCCACAGGTGTTTTATGAAGAGAGGAATGGATGGTGATGAGGTCCAGCATCTACTACGTACTCACCAGGGGCCAGACACCAGGCTGGCCCCTGTCACACGTCACATCCAATCGTGATGACAACCCTATGAAGTAGTTATAATCGTCACCCCCAAAAGGAAACTGAGGCCTGAGGTTGAGTGACTGGCCCAAGGTCAGCACGCTGGCCAGTGCCATGGCTGGGATTTGACCCAAGTTGAAAGTCCCTACCTTCAACCTCTGACCTACACTCATTAAGAAGGCCTAGAACCATATAATCCTAGTGCAGCCAAGAAGGCGATTAAAGAAACCAAGAGGTTCAGCTCCCGGCTGTGGGTAGAAAACCTCCCTTCAGTCAGCGGGTTAGTGACTGTCCAGCCTGTCCCAGGGCACATGCTTTCCCAGGCTGTCCCCACCCACTGCTGCTGTTAGCCAAAAAGCCCTCTGTGATTGTAACTCCTGTTAGAAACAGCAACACCGTGAGTGTGTGGTTCGAAGCTCGGTTGAGGCACCTGCAAGACCTTCTACCATTTTTTGGAGTTTTGGGGAACCCAATCCACCGAGAATGTAGTCAAGACCAATGAGAGTGCCGAGGAGAAGGACTGGGAATTTGGGCTGGAAAAGGGACCCACAGTCACTGCCACGGGCACCAGGAGTCTGATCCCGCTCACCTGCTAACTCCGTCCTGAGCTCTGGCAGGTTGCTTTGTCCTCCTGGGCCTTGGGTCCTCATCTGTAGGAAGAGTTATTTCTGAGGTCATCCCAAGCTCTGGAGGACTAGAAAGATCGTAACTGTCTGGCTGGGGATTTATTTGCTCACTGGGCGTCCATGTGTTTCCCCAGGCTGGAGGAGAACTACGAGATCGCGGAGGGGGTCTGCATTCCCCGCAGCGCCCTCTACATGCACTACCTGGACTTCTGCGAGAAGAACGACACCCAGCCAGTCAACGCTGCCAGCTTTGGGAAGGTGAGTCCCGCCTCCCCCGGCGTGCTCCTTTTCTTCCGTCCTTTTAAGTAATTTATGCACACTCCTTAATCGTGCTGGCTGGTTCTTTCTGAGTGACCGCACTCCGCTGCAAATAGTTTAAGCACTGGTTAACAAAGGGATACCAAGCCAAATACCAGAGCAAAATAATACCCAAGTATTAAAGACGTCAAACAATTCAGACAGGTTATAAAGGGAAAAGTGAATTTCCTCGGTACTCCATTTGCAGAAAGTAACTTTTTCCCTCTGTGGGGCAAATATTAAACCCACGAGGGTGTTCTGGGTGTCAGCGGATGAGCCTGGGGCAGGCGGACCGCTTGCCTTTGTACAGGGCAGGCCTCGGCGACACTGGCAAATGGCCTCGTATCATCGGCCTGGCTGCCCGGGAGCGGTCCCCTGGGAGTGGTGGTGTTTGTCGTGTGGCTGCAGGCCTGGCTGTTCTCTGTCCGTCTTACGATGAAGTTCTAGTCCACACTCAGGGCTGCGTCTATGGAAAATCGTTATCTCTGATCGTTCACACTTACCAGGCCAAGGAAAGCTACTGGGGCACCCTAAGGCTGATTGTTTGTTTGCAGGACAGATAAAAATTTAGATTTTTACACTTGCAAAATACCCAATTTAACCTGAGTCAGTACATCCAAATTCTTTCTCCTCTTGTTAGCTTCTTTTCTCCGTGTCTGATTCTGAGTGCCTCTGGCAGCAAACAACAGGCAGGCTTCCTCCTTTCCTCACCGGTTCTCTGCACGCAGGCATAGCCAGGCTTGGAAAGACAGGAGGAGGTGGGCGTATAAGTTTCGGGGGTTCCCTTTGCAGATCCCCAACAGGTGCATGGTCAGCAGGAACGAAAAAAGCGTGGCGTCGGACCTGACCCAACCTCCCTGGCGAGTGAGTCCAGAGCTGAGTGGCTGAGAACTGGCTCCGCTCGATTGATGGGAAGGAGCTCTGGACACTTAGGGAGGGGGAAGCGTTTTGGGGACACACTCATGCTATTTCCCCACATCGAAGAGAATGTTTTAGAAAGTTAGGGGAGAAACGTTTGCTCTTGCGTTCATTCGTTTCTCCAGTCCATCCGTGTGAGCCGAGATGGGCTGGCTGCGTGGTGGTTAGGCAGAGAGACCCCGCACTGGACCCGCGTGGGCCCTGACGTGGGGGGGGCTCACAGGCCAGGGACAGAGGCCGCAGGCCCCTCAGCAGGTGAGAGCAGGTGAAGCACACCGGGAACATGTGTGACCCTGGAGCTTTGCCACGTGTCTGTGGTCCTGAGACATCCATTTGCATCTACACGCTCCCTGGCAGCGACCACAGTGGGAAGTCCAGAGGAGGCCTCGTAGATGGAGGGACAGGTCCGGTGAACCGAAAGCCCAAGGATCTTAACTCCCCTGGACTTGCCATTGATCTTCTCTGGGCCTCAGCCCTCTGCGCTCCGACGTGGGGATCAACCCCTGCCTTCTTGGGGGTGCGGGGGGAGCAGACTCGGCTGAGAGGGTGTCAGCGGATGATGCGAGGCACCATCCGCTCAGCCATCGAGTGGCTCAGATGTTCGGGGACACCCACCATGCGCCACCACCGCGGCTGTCGCTGTACCTTCTCCATGGGGCGTTTGTGCGCAGATACAAATGCCCGTTTGTTAGCTTTGATTCTGGGGGGAAGGAAAGAAAACTCGCCATTTCCGGCAACTCCAAGTCGCTGGTGTGAGGACCTTCTGTTCCTTTTTTCTTGAATACTTCTGTAACGCTGTCGTCAGCTGAGGGTTTCTTTTGACCCTGTGATCTAGGTAAAATCGATTTAACTCGCCCCTCCTCCCTGAACCCTGGGTCCATTCCTAATCTAAGTCTGCAGCCTGCCAGCAAGACTTCAGCAACCCCCAGAGGACCTGCATGCAGCTCAACGGTCTGGGACTCTTCCTTCTGTACTTGCCACCTCTCTCTGCTCCTGCGCTGTTCCGTGTGGTGGCCACTGGCCACATGTGGTTGGGAACTTCAGTGAAATCACGTTCTTCAGTCACACTAGCCACGTTTCAAATGCTCAGCGGCCACATGTCACTGGGGGTGCAGATAGAAGTTTCCATCATCACAGAAAGGGCTGTTAGACAGCCCCGTTCTGAACTGTCGTGAGCCAGGGGTGCAATACAGGGGCTTCTTTGCTTTGCACAAAACAGCCCTGGTGATCCCAGTGGACTGATGGTGGTGGGAGGGGGTTACATCCCACACCGTCCTATGGGACAGACACCACCTCCAGCTGCCGTGCCACCCCCCACGGCAGTGGCGGCTCACCGGTCCTGCACCTGCCAGCTCCCCGCTAGTCCCAGCCCTTCTGCCCTGCTGGCTGCTAGCTCCTCCTCTGCCGGCTTCCTCTGCTTCCCTCTCCCCACCCTCCCGTCCTCCTTGGGACAGCCTCCACCAAGTTTCCCCGTTCCCTGGTCCTTGGTTTCTGCTGACAGCTCTGCCCACAGGTCTCGTTTACCCCAAAGAGCTATTTAAAATATTTTCCCAGCCATGACCAGTGTGTCTCAGTGGGCTGGGCATCATCCTGCAAAGCAAAAGGTTGCCAGTTTGATTCCCGGTCAGGGCACACGCCTGGGTTGCAGGTTCGGTCCTCAGTCAGGGAGTATACGAGAGGCAACTGGTCAATGTTTCTGTCTTACATCGATGTTTCTCTTCCTCTATTTCTCCCTCCCTTCCCACCTCTCTTTAAAAAATATATACATATTTTTCCAAATACTGTTTTTTCCTTAAGTGCAGTACCAGCTGCTTCCAAAATAGTAATTAAAATAAGTATCCAAACCTCCCAATACACACCTGTCTTATCTTCAGTTCAGAAGCAAGGCAATGCTCTAACGGTATCAAAAGCACAAATGCAGAAGCTCTGCGGCTGCCTCGCCGTGGATTTCACATGCCCGGGGAGCGGGAGCTGCCCTCGTGGGTGGAGGACGCAGGGGCCCGTGGAGGGCGGGCTGCACGTTGAGCTCGCTGCCTGGAAACCCCAGACCGCTGCCCTTCCTGAGGGCCCCCGGCACGCCGCCGCTGCCGTCTCCCTGAGACCTTGGGCTGTGATTGTCGACAGTCTTCCCTTGCACTGCTTCCTCCGAACTTGTGATTTACCTACCGACTTTTAACTCAGAGCAGGCGAGGGTCAATGTTTCCAATTAGGTTGGGGGTGGTTTCTCCACCCAGCTTGCAGGTGGGCTGAGGCCAGACAGACATCAGTGTTGAAGCTCCCCCGCCACCTCCACTTGCCTCCCATGTCCCCTGGCTGGGGTAGTGTCCTTGACAAAGTGGCAGCAATCGCTTTGCCGCAAGTAAGATCTGAAACAGAGATCCTCTTTCCGACGCTGTGGCCGAGCTCCACAAGCGCTGGCTTCCAGGAACAGCGTGTTATTGACTTCAGGTCCCGGAACTCATGTAGGATGCACAGAGGATGCCGAGGCTTCTCGCTGAACTGGCCTTTGCCTGCTCTTACCGTGGGCGAGGGTCACGAAAGGTCACCCAACTTGAGTCACTGAACTTTCCTGAGCTCTCACATCCTTATCTTTAGTCCGGAATAATCTCCCACCAAATCACTCTAGGGATAAAATGGGACGGAGCTCACGAGAGCACTTCTGCAAACCGTGAGGAGCTCTCCCCTCGGAAGAAAGCACCACCACCTAAAATCGGCCCCCGTCCCTCCTGGCTCCTCTGTTTCCGCACCACGCTTTGCTTCTCTTTGTAGCCCTGACCACTGCCTGCAGCACCACACATCGATGGTGTCACTGATATATAGTACACATAGTTTTCGATTATGTCATTAAATATTACTGTGTATTGCATAGCTGTATATTATCTAATATACTGTATGTAATTGTGCATGTTATAATTGTATAAACCGTCATATATGTGACTGATAGATATTCCCTATTACATGTATGTCCGTTGCTGTGTGTTGTCTGCCTCCTTCTCCACAATGGGAGCTGCGCGAGGACTCTGTTTGTCCATGTAAATGCCGGGCACCCAGGACAGTGCCTGGTGTTCCGTGGAGCCCCAGTGTTTGCTAGAGGTTGAGGGACTTTTGTGAGTAGTATTTGCCAGGGGCCATGCGAATCACGTGACATTTGTGAATTTGTGCCTGGTGCGGTAACTCCATGAAATGGGCATTGTCCCCGTTTTCCGTGACCTCGTTCCTGAGTGGGGGGGTGGACTTGTTAATGTGCCGATGGAACTGGCTGTATCTTGACTTCCTTTGAACAACCACCTTGGAAGTCCTCTGTCTAGCCCTGCTGATAACATCACAGGGAAATCCCGAAGCATCTGGCTGTGCTCAGCCGTCCCGCCGGCCTTGCTTAGGTCACTAAAACTTGGCTATGGAAAAAGCCCAGTTTGGTCCAAGTGAAAACTCCCATCTCACGTGGAAGGCGGGGCCTCCGCTGCCCAGTGGCTCGGCATTCGCTCTGTGAACGGGTGATGCTGGCTCTTTCTCTCTCCTCTTCGGGTGCCTCCCGGGCAGGGGAAGAGGGTGCTTGGAGGGAAGACCAGCTGGTGCTCTTGGAGAATTCCTCCCAGAAACCAGCGCCCTCTGCCACGATCATCACCCCTATGCTGGGGGAAGGGGTCCAGTTGGGGGGCTTGGGGGAGCCCCTGTGGATCTCTGTCCCACTGGCTGAAGGGACGTGGTCTCCCGCCAGCCTCCAACCCCCCACCCGCCCACAGCTGCTCTTGCTGCTGCACGGAGGACTCGCCGGCGGCTCTGTTCTCGTGCTGCCTGATTTTGACCAGCTCACCGCACACCCAGGGCTCCACCCTGACTCTTAGGGATGCCCGGAGGAGCCCCCGCACGTGTAACTGGGGTAGGAACAGGCTGAGCTCGGTGGCGTACACACGGAAAATGGCTTTGCTGTGTTCTAGTGACTCCTTCAACCGTGCGGTGCCCAAACCCCCTTCTCGGACCCCTGATGGTTTCACGGCAGGTTCAATAGCTTCTTGGTGATCAGCCATAAGAACAAGCCTCTT